TTGTGATTTTTAATTTTTATTTCTTCTTTTTGTTTTACAAAATGTCTATAGGGGTTCTGTGTGGAGAAATGAAGGACACAACATCCAGTAAACACAGAGCTGTTTTCTTCAGTGCTTACTGTAGTCATGGGGAAAATTTCAGGAATTACTGGCTCTGTGCAGTTTCTCTCAGAGCAGTGCAGAGATGTGTTGTTACATTGTACAGTTGGAATAAACTTTGGATCTTCACAAGTTGCTGGTGCCATTTGTAGCTGCAATCTGCAGCATAAGGTCTTTCTTACCCTCAGCTGCAGCCTGCAAGCTGAGATGACAAAAGAGAGCAGGAACACCTTTCCCTCATCCACACAGCAAGGACTTCCTTTCCATATGTAGGTGTTACCAGTTTTCACTGGTACCAGACTGAATTCCTGCAGTTAGCTTTACAAGGAGCTGTCCTCGAAAATCACTGGGAAATTGGCTAGCTGATGCTTCAGCTGCCATATTTCCCACAGAGTTCCAAATCTGTCTCCATAAGGGATGGTGACTTCTTGTTAAATTCCTTGTCCTGTTAGTTACAATCTAATTAAGTAGACCTGTCTTGTTAATTTGTATTAAATCCCATATATCCAAGGTACTGTCTCTCCTTTCACACTTATATAAGTCCCTGTCTGGTGAGTTCAGCCAGAATGATTCAGACTGACATTTCCAAATTAAATTAGAAGTCTGTGTATTTTAAATGGACAGTCTGATGCTCACGAACTGTGGACCTTTGACTTTGAAATGCACTTTCCTTTTTGGCCTGATGTAGCGTAAGCTTGTTGGAATGCAAGTCCCAGTAGAAATTTATCTATTTACTCACGTTGTCTTTCAGGGGATAATTTCAGGGAAATCAGGAGATTTCAGGGCAAGGGAGTTTTATCAAAATTAATTGAACTGGATAGAATTGATGCAAGTGGATGTTTTAAATATTGTGGAGCATTTTGGCCTAGGGGGCACCCTAAGTACATTTTTGCAGTTAGAAAATAAATACAGGAATGATTTTAAACATTATCCAGGACTGAACAGTCATGTTGTTTAGCAAAGAAGACATTCAGCTGACTTCTGATTCACTATTTGGGAGCATCCCCATTGCCATGAGACCAAAATTTGTAATTGGAGCAGATGACCAGAAAACTTTCAAGATTTGAGACATGTACCCTCTCTGTAAGGAAGAGAAACAAGCTACCTCTGACTGTTGCATGCCACTGCTTGGAGGGCACAGACTTGTGGCAAGGGAACCATTTGTGAGGTGAGTTTCTGCAGAGAAGAGATCAGGACCTTTGTTCTCTGGACAACATTCTTCCAGTCTCTCTCCTTAGCAGCTGGCATGAAGGACTTCTGCTGAAACTTTTAAAATATCGAGTTATAAAAGCAATCAGTTACGTATTTTTAAATGTAGAAAGAATTACTCTTAGCTTATTACCAGCTTTGCTAGCCAGAGATGAAAACTGCTGAATGTCTGAATAAATCTGCTCTATTTATCACTTAGTGGAGTCTATAATACTCAGAGAGTGTAAAAAATTTACAAGACATCCCTGAATACTGAATTTTGCATTGATTTGGATCTCACATTTGTTTGAAATACATCTGAAATCATAACCAGGCAGACACTTCCTTCCTGAGAAAATCCCAGCAGAGGAACTTTTTCAAAGGATGTAAAATCACCTAAATCTGTAAAATATGTTGACAGTAGTGTAACTTGAGACAGTGGTCAAGAGGGTGTTAGATGACTACCAATGTTAGCTTTCGAATTTCTGGAAATCCTTGGGTTCAAGAAGTGTCCATTCCTGTAAAAAAAAACCCAAAACAACAACAACAACAACAACAACAACAAAAAAACCCAAACAAACAAACAAGCCCCCCCCAACACACACACAAAAAACAAACAAACAAACAAACAAAAATGAACTGGAGAGTAACCCCATAGAGTCATAGGTTTGTGTAGAAGCTATTGCAAGTTTCTAAGTATCTCAGAAGTGAGTCCTAAATTTCATGGGTTATTCTATTTAATTTTAATGGACCTACTAGTACAAGGAACAGCTGAGCAATCAGACCTTTACAAAGCTCCATATATACAGACATCGATCCATTTATGTTCATTTCTTAGCTGTTGCAGCAAATAAGCATAAGCAATCAAAACCTAAAAATACTGTTGCTTTATTTCTTATGGATAGGGCAACTTGAAAGCCTAAATACAAGAAAGGAAGTGAAAATAATGCTGTAGGTGGCACATGTTTTAAACAAACACCTATGAGAAATGTATACTTTGCTAAGAGAAAAGGAGAAAGTTCAAAAAATATTGAATATATTAGTAAGATAAAATCCCTGTTTTATCTGAACAAACCTGCTAGATGATGAATCCAAATCTTTGGTCACAAGAAAACAATTCAGTATCTACAACAGTGGTCTACCTATGTATGTTTTGCATGCACACTGTTTATATATAGCAGGTGACATTTTTACATCATGAAAGGAAAGCAGCTGAGTGAGCGGAATAAAAAGGACTGAAAACAATTTATCAGATAGCTGATATATGCTTCAACTTATTTCAGTCAGGAACACATGAGCTTTCTACTTGTTTCCAAGGCAGAATAAAATTGTATAACTTTAGCAGCATTGATTCTCGCAGAAGAGCTTTAAATCTCCCCAATAATTTAGTTCTAGAGTCTGTATAGCTAGACAGTCAATCTGATTTGTCTCTCTTGGTAGAAAGTAGAGGAGGGAATAGCTGTGTTAGGGAAACCAAAAGTAGCATTTCAACAAACCAGGTTTCCAGGCTTCAGCCATTGATACTCCAAAAAACCTCCTTTCAAACCATTTTCCACAATACACTGGCCTTTCTCATAAGAGCTGAACTTTGCCAGTAGAAAATTTTGTGTTAAAAGAGATAATTCTGATGAAATAGGAGTAGAAAAAAAAGAATTTTTTGGAAGAAATACTGGAACATCCATTTTATGTTAATGATTGATTTTATCTGAAGTAAAAACTGTTCTGCATTCTATAAAATGTTTAAAAAGAAAACAGAACAAAACACTGGATGCCATCAAAGCAGAATATTCAAATCAACTTCCAAGTGATTTTTAAACTGTCTAACATGGGAAAATGAAAATTATTCACTTGTCCTTCATTTCACAGAGAAAAAATATTCAACAGCAGGCAGTTTCCCTTGGAAAGGATTCACTGCTTACAAGACAGCTCCAGCCTTGCTCTGGTTTTGCTCTGATTCCTTGCTTGATGGCAGCTCATATCTCTGCAAAAAATGCAGTCCCGTGTAGTGCCTCAAGGATGGTTACCAGATGATAAAGGGACCATATGTTGAGAAATTTGTGAAGGTGGTAGGACTGGGGACATGGGCTGATTCTGAAGGGAGAAATACTAGATCTATGGGCCACAGCAGGATCAGGATGTGTAGGAGTCAGGGACAAAAGGCAGTGGGACAACTGGAGACTTTGTGGGACAAAGATAGCAGTGCTAGTGGTGCTACTTTTGGTGGGGAAAGTCTTTACTTCCCCTGATGGAAGGGAAGATCAAAGCCTAGTGCTCTTTCCCTGCTCTCTCCTAAAGGTATCCCAGATGTTTTCATACAAGCCCCAGACTTCTGCCCATTTCCACCTACTCCCACCTGCTGCTGCAAGGATGGGAGAGGCAGCATTTGCAGCCATGGCTGGGCATCAGGACCCAGTGACCTGCTTTCTAGTCTCAGAAAAACTCAGACCATCACTGAGGGAAAACAGCTCTGTGTGACAGCTCTACATGAGCCTCAGCATAAAGACCTGCTGTCTTTCTGAGTGCCAGGTTAGAGGGGATGAGGGCTACAGGGTGCTATATGTTGGGAAGAATCTGTGGGAGCATTTGCAAATGCTTCCCTTGACATAGCCAGAGAAGAAAACCAAAACTTAACCATTGGAATTATTTGCTGGCATGCTGCAGGCTCGTTGTGTCAAGAGCAGAAATTAAAGTCTAACCATTAAAACATGGGTGAAGGGGAATTTTTCCCCCTTTTGTGCACATCTGAATGTCTCTACAGATCTGGCCCTGGCAGAATTGTCCTGGGCTGGCCTTGGGGAATCTTCGTGCCCACAAGCAGAGTACAGGCAGCCCTTCTGGCCCTGGTTCCCTCCTTGGGAAACATTACCTGCAGGGAAAGAGGGCACCAGCAACCTGCTGGGCTGAGTCCTCCGTAATAAACAGAGCTCGTGGATAAACACAGTGCAGACAAAGAACTAGCTGTGTGACAATAAATAAATCAGCTCAGATATTGACACAAGGAGAAGACACCCCTGGGGCAGCACTCACTGCAAACCCGCATCTGAGTGAGCAATAGTTAAATGTTTGTCCTTGCCTCTTTCTTTCAAAAGTAGGGCAAATATCTATAGAGTTCCCAGCGGGGAGGTAATCTAACTTTAACTTTCATACAGTCAAGTAAAACACCCGAGACCTGTGTTAGGGATGCAAGCAGGTCGTCTGAATTATGATTATTCAATCTGGTATTATTTTAATCTGGTATGCCTCTCACGTGCTTCATTTAGGTTCATCTTGACCTGAAAACTGCAATCTCAATGCCTTTTTTGTCTTTATCTTTACAGGTGATTTACCTTATTGCAGTTAATTTTTTCTGTTTTGTTTTTTTCCCCCCAAATATAAATATTTATTTAAATAGCGAAGCCCTGCCCGTGAGGCAGAGCAGCAAATTTCATTGTCTCGAGTCTCCTGAGCATGATCTGGGTCCCCGTCTAGCAGCAGCCTCTTGCTTTAACTCTCACTCTTGCTAATTGAGGAAGGGAGATAATGAATTAAGAGCCACGAGAGGTGAGAGCCAACACCTCCCCTGCAGCCGCAGCGTGCTCCGGGTGATGTTTCCTTACTCGTTTACAAGACAATAGCCGAAAAAAAATTAAGGAGGGGGAGAAAATGACTGAACCTTCTGTATGAGATAATGGATGAGCCCGGGATGACCTGTTTTTTTTCCTTGCGGTGGAGCGGTGCTGAAGACAGAGGGCACCCGCGCCCAGCCCACAGCCGTCGCCCCGCCGCCAGCGCGCCAGCTCGGGGCGGCCGGAGAGCCGCCAATGCCCGCTCCCAGCAGGCAGGGAGCCACTGCCTCAGCCGGCCAGGTACGTCTCAGGGGTGACCCTCCGAGCGGACCGCGAGGCTCAGCCGTGGGACGGCCCGCGGGGCAGGCAGGGCAGGCAGATGGCCCCGGGGCTGCGGGGCTGCCCGCGGGAGCCTGCTTCGGGCGGCTCTGCCTCCTGCGGACGGCGGCTGCCCTCGGAGCGTCGCCTCCCCGGGACCGCGTCCAGCCCCCCGCCCCGCTCGGCGGACACGCAGCCCCGCGGCCCCGGCACCCCTGCCCGCCGGCGGGGAGAGACGGAGCGGCGAGCAGCCCGGGGCGGTGCGTGCCGCGGCGGGCTCCGAGCGCCCGGAGGGGTGTGCGGGTGTGTGAGTGTGTGTGCGAGCAGCGATGTGCGTGTGCCAGCCGCGGTGCGTGTGCATCCGGGGACAGCGCGGCGGCAGCTCCTGGCGGGGGGCAGAAGTTTTGGGGAAGCGCCCCGCAGTGCTGGCGGGCGGCCGAGCGGGCGGTGGCGGGGCCGGGACAGAGGGACACGGGAGCACCGAGGCAGCGGGCTGTCGGACAGCGAGACAGGAGGCTGCGGGCAGGGGACACCGGGACTGGAAGGCAGCGGAACGGGGTGCAGCGGGGCTGGGGCCCGCGGTCCGGCCGCTGTCCCGGCTGCCGGGCGCTGTCTCGGGTGCTGACGGCTCCTCGTGCAACAGGGACGCGGCCCGGCCGCGGTGGCAGCGGTGGCATCCTCCCTCCCAGCGCGGCGCTTCCAGCCGCCGAGCCCTGTCGCCGGGCTCTCCGCCGCTCCCCGCCCGAAGCCTGTCTGCACGGCAGGCGTGCTGGTAAGGCACATCGGGGCTTTGCCCACGGTTGCCTTAGTAACTAATATGTATTTTCTCCTGCTTTCATGTGTGTGTGTCCCTGACTGGATTACAGTTTTGCCCCATACACATGAAAAAGTTAATCTAAACTGTAGAGTGCTTTTTTTTCCTCCCTCTCTTCACTGACCTTTAAATGACATTTCCCGTGGCTGGCAGGGCTCGCTTTCTCTTTTTACCCACATTATGGATGGAGAAATGAAATGTCTAAACTGAGAAAGATGCCTTCGGGTAATCAGAACGCAAAGAAAGAAGCGCTTGTCACTCTGCTTTCAGGGCTGGGGCTGTGGGGCCGGGCTAGGGCTCTTCTCTGACAAGCTGCCTACCTCCGGAAACTTTTAAAACTTCCTGGGGGCAGAGGATGTGTGTGTGATATGGGAAATATCCACCCTGGATTGAAACACAGACGCAAAAAGGATTGTAGAAACTCAGCATATGTGAGTATGCATGATCATATACCAAGGCAAATAAATACATTATTTAATCCCTCTTGAAACTTCTTGTTGAGTGTCTTATTGAATCACATTGCTCTAGGCTTTTGAGATAACAGTCATCTCTAACTGTGCAGGGCTGCTTTACTGAGCTCAGGTTTGACATCGATTTCCTGGTTAGCCCATTTTATCCCCTCTTTCTATGCCACCAGGTTAAAAGTCACTAGGATGACAGCTGTCCTGGCACCTTCAAGAGTGATGCTGTGAGGCTTCGCTGTCATGGTATTTGGAGCAACCTGGCCGTCATCGGGGAGAAGCAGATACCATTTCCTACATGTCCTTAAACCATGTGCAGGCAAGGGGAGCCCATGAAATTCGTAACCTGGGTCTGGATGACATCGTGCAACAAAATGATTGGTGTGCTGCTGGTCTTTTTCCCTGCTCTGCTCCTGGAGATGGAAGTGCTGCCCAAGAGTGGTGGTCGGAAGGTTCTTCTCTCTGCAGCCTCCTCACAGCGGTCAGTGGCTCGGATGGATGGGGATGTCATCATCGGGGCCCTCTTCTCTGTCCATCACCAGCCACCAGCCGAGAAAGTGCCCGAGAGGAAGTGCGGGGAAATCAGGGAGCAATACGGCATCCAGAGAGTCGAAGCCATGTTTCACACTTTGGATAAAATTAACGCAGACCCGGTCCTGCTACCTAACATTACCCTGGGCAGCGAGATCCGAGACTCCTGCTGGCACTCCTCCGTGGCCCTGGAGCAGAGCATCGAGTTCATACGGGACTCTCTCATCTCCATCAGGGACGACAGGGATGGAGGCACCCGCTGCATTTCCGACTCGCAGACCCAGCCCCAGAGCAGAGTGAAAAAGCCCATCGCGGGGGTCATCGGCCCCGGCTCCAGCTCAGTTGCTATCCAAGTCCAAAATCTGCTCCAGCTCTTCGACATCCCCCAGATTGCCTACTCTGCCACCAGCATCGACCTGAGCGACAAAACGCTGTACAAGTACTTCCTCAGGGTGGTCCCCTCCGACACGCTGCAGGCCAGGGCCATGCTTGACATCGTCAAGCGTTACAACTGGACCTACGTCTCCGCCGTGCACACGGAAGGTGGGTATGGGACAGCCCCGCCTCGCCGGGCCAGCCGCCGGGGCCCGGGCCGGAGCTGCGGCTCCTCCCCGGGACAGCGCCGGCCGCTGCCGCCCGCGGACACCGCGGGGCCAAGGTGGAGAAGCGGGGGGAGGCTGCGGGGGTGCCGTTCCGGGGGCGGAGGGACTACCCCGGCTGCGGGCACCGGGAGCGGGGCTCGGCGGCTCAGGAACGCCCGCTGGGGATAGAGCGTCTCCCCGGCGCTGTCCCCATTCCCACACAGAGTGGTTCGCGTGTTTGTAAATAAAAGTTAACAGATGTGAGCAGCTGGATGTGGGGCGGGCAGCCGCTCCCCTCCGGCTGGGCCGGGGCAGGTCCGTGGGCTGATGCTCTCGGTCGCTACCATCGCTGGGAGTTTGACAAAACGGGATCAGGGCTCGTCAGGGACTCCAGGATTAGCTGCTGGCTTTACTGCATGTGAACTGATTCCGTGGGTCTGCGAATAGGGAGGAAAGAATCTTGAAAATCCCTCCCCTGTCCCGGTAGTCCCTACAAAGCCAGGTGCCCTGGGAAAGGGCAGGCAGAGGCTCGTGCATCTTGTCTACAGCTTGAGCAATAGTCAAAGCTATTGCTCTGCACAATCTGTTCATAGTCAACAGGTCGTCTTAATTTTAAATATCAAAAGAAAAATAGCAGTAATAACGTTATTTTAAAGAAGAGACATTGGTTTATAGCCAGGTTTATAAATTGCAGCAGTAATTGCATTTGATAGAAAATAAACTTGTGATATATTACTGCGATATTTCTGTAGTCCAGTTGTGGTCCTCAAAATGGAACTTCTAAGTATAAAATTGCAAATTCGATGACGTTATTGCTATAGTTTTGCAACTATTCTGTTTATCTGAGTGTATCTCTTATATGGATTTGATTTATGATTCCCTGTGCTTACTGAGCTGACTCCACACCTTTAATTCACACAGAGATGACTAAGTAAAATGAGGTAAGAACATATATTTTGATAAAAAAAAAAAAAGAATCTTCAGGAAGGGTTACATATTTACAACATTTTGAAAGGAACTGGATTGATCTGGACACCAAAAACAGAAAATGCTGCAATTTGAGTGGGCTGGGGGACAAGTGAAAGCATGAAGCAATGACCTGACATTTGCAGTTCATTTATGCCCTGTTCAGATGAGAAAATGAGCTGCTAGCAAGACTCCAACATTAGCTATTAAGATTCTCGATTGTTGACAGATATGATTAGATCCTGTGGAAGGCCAGGATGACAAATACACATGAAAGGGGTAAATACTTCGTTGATCTAAATAGCCATCTCTCCCTTCAAGGCACTCTGGGGTGCTCTGCTAACTCATTGTGCCTGAGGAGTTGCCTCAACGGACTGGCTGCCTCTCTGTCCCACTCGTGTTAACATTAGTGGACCTTACCTCTTTTGGAAAAGACAACACTCTCTGAAGGCTAATTTAAAAAAAACATGATCATTATAAGCAGCAACTTCAGTCATTGTTTGTGATAAATTTTAATTAGATACCTATTTTTATGAATGTTACTGACTGATGAAAAATAATTGTTGTAAGATATTTTTAGACTTCTGAAGTGATACTTTTGAAAATAGGGGTAGCCCACAGGGCAACACTCATCTTAGGAAAAGTCACAACAATTTCACAGATCATGCAGCTTGAGAGTAAGATTTGCTTTTTTATTAATCTGTGTCTGCCAATCCTTTATTGTTAAATTAAAGCAAAAAATGTCACTGAAATGATGTAACAAGCTTCAACTTTCGCATTTCTTTCCAGAAAGACAAGTTATTGACCCCACCCAATTGCTGTTGGGTAGATTCCAAATACTTTTTTTCCCTTCTATTTAAAGTGAAGCTAGTATTCATGAAAACCAGTGTAAATGATTGAATTTCCATTGTTTCAAATCCCATGCATTCATTTCATTGTTAAAGGCGAACTCATTCTTCGCAGACAACACAAAGCTACTCTGAACAATAGTCTGAGCAGAGCTGCTCCATCCATGCTATGTTTGGAAATATGGGGATAAAGTGTAGTCAGAAACATTCCTCCTCCACAATTACTCATAGGCCTCTACACAGTCTTTATGGTGGGCTGCAAAATGTGCTGGGAGGAATTCACGGGCATCACTGGTTGGAGAATCTCTTCAGCAGAGACTGAGAGGAAGGGGCATGTTTCTAGGAAATGCACAGGTTGACACTGTGAAGAAGTTAATTCTTTCCCCTTCCAAGATCCAGTTTGGCCCCCTTGCCAGAGCAGAAAAGCTGCTTTCTTCCTACCTGACCTCTGTTTCTCAGGGGATGGACAATGCTCAGCTCCTGTAGGCGCCCAGCCACAAGGGGATGCAGTGAGACCACTGAGCTGACTGACCGCCCGTGCCAGCGAGCCACACTCCACAGTCCTCACTGACCCAGGGCAGGCTCCTGGAAACTGCCCAGGCAAATGAGCCCTTTTCCAGCCTGAACCATCCAGCTCCTCTGCTTACCCTTCCTCTGCTCCTGAAGCCTAACTGAAGCTGGCTAAATGCTGAAAACAATACCTGGGTACACAACTATAGCTTTAATGAGAATCAGAAATGAATTGCACATAATTTCTTGCTCAGGTTTATTAACATGAAGCCTACGCATGCCGTAAGAATGAACATAAAGAGTTCATCCATATAGGATGATGTCTTTAAATAGTTTGCATTTGACATGGAAGTTTATTCTTCATGTGCCAATATGATAATTAATTAGTGATGATGACTTTTAACTACACTCCACACTCTGGTACATGAAGCTGCATGGAGATGTGCCAGACCTGTTGGGGTTTTTTATACAGTGGTTTATTAAGAAGTATAAACATTATCTGGGTAAAACCTCCTACAGTCAATAAAATCTTTTTTCAAAGGTCCACATAACACATTGCTCCTTTTAGATTAAAATTTACATATAAAACTCCACATTAAAAAAAGAAAAGGGTTTAGTTCTTTTATTCTGTATCTCAGTTGAGCATAGTTGCCCATAAATGAGAGTCAATTTTTTTCCCAGAGCGGGCAACAGCCATTAAATGCTGTAACAAATCTGTGCATCTGTCAGTGTAAGGCTGTGTGTAAGTAGTTGCAAAGCATTTTCAAGGCTATTATTTTTTTAAGTTTTATTCAAAGATAATTCAATGTTGGAGTTCTTGGCATGTCTATATCTCAGATTTTAGGCTTGAAAGTCATTCTTATCTTGAAATGCACATAAGTAGATGCTGAACTTTGAGCCAAAGCTTCCTATGGAAATCAAAGGCATCAAAAAAAGCATGGGTTATAATTGGGCACAATACTTAGTGTGATAAGGGCAGAAGAAGTGACACTTACCAAGGATAATTTTCCAAGTGAGATATTATGGTCTTTAGCAAGATAACCTCAGAGTCAGGTATTCTTAACTTAGAGCAGGCAGCCACTGGTGATTTGGTAACACTGTGAAGAATTAAGGGGACCCTTTCTTCCTTTCCTGGGGAAGAGCCCCCAGGCTACCTCCAGAAAAAGGCAAGACACAGCAAGCACCACTGCTGTGCTGCTTTCATTCTGAAGGCAGAGAAAATGAATTTCTGGGGTTGACACCAGAAAATGCAGAGTGGTTATGAGATCACTGTAGATTACACTGACTTCCAAAACCCACAAGACAGCTTCACCCTGGCTAGTGATTGGCATGAAGTCTCCAGCAAATCCTTCACTTTTACCTGTTCCTCTTGTACATGGAGCAGGAGAGATGATGGTGTAAGTAGTCCTTTTATTACCTCATCTTCTAAGTACCCCACTTCTGAACAAGCTAATAGAAATACTTAGCACCTGTGCCTGGATTCATTTCAATCACTGCCTACCTGTTAGCCTTATAAAATGTATGTGAGCATTCATTTGAATGCTGTTTATAATTGATGGACCATGCTTATGCTTTATTGTACAAATACCCCTTCATAAACAAGATTTCCGTTCCAACAGATTAACATGCAGACTTTGCAGAAGCAACTTTGGAAATGGAATGATTAAGATAATTGCACCAAATTTGTACTGTTTAGAAATTAATTTTAGAGAACAGTGAGATGTTTCTGGACTTGATTAAATTTTGTCAGATTTGTAGTGCCAGGCTGTTCCTTTTTCTTGAGTATAAGGCTTAAAATGAACTATGATGAAGCAGATGGCAAAATTGTAAAGACTTTCAGATCAAAGCAGATGGTAAGTATATTATCTTCACAATGATTTTTGATAACCTGACTGCTGCACACTATCCATTGTACATGGATAACCATAAACATGGTTATATGTGTTGGAAAGAGGATGGAAAGGAACTAGTCCTGTACTTTATTGCAAATTTCAGAAGAAATAAGTTAATTTAGTGAAACCCACTAAAGTAGCTTTAGATATGCTGGAAGATAACACTTCTGTTTAAAGATAAATGGGGCTCTATTGATCAAATAGCTCAAAGGAATTATTTTTATAAAATTGTGTTTAATTTCTCAAAGGTGTTTCTGACAATGTTTTATTATTAATTCTATGGTGTCACTCAATGATTAATAATTTTTGATAAAATTATTGTCAGGCAACAGAATAAGGAATTCCAGTTCAAATGTTTGGAATTCTAGAGAGTGCAAATGTTTCTAAAATTACAAAAATGGTCTTATTAGGAGCATTAGGTTAAGCTCATTAGTGGTATGAACTGTGCTGAGAAAAAAAATGCATATTTCAATCTACTCTGTTTTGTGTTTAACTTGTTTCACTAATCATCTTCAGAAGCTTTGTGACACAAAAAAAAGGAAAGGCATATATCCCAAGGAAAACAGAAATTAGCTTCCAAACAAGTATCCCTACATTGGATGGATCCCATTAATTTTATTAATTAGAAGGTGCTTGGAGAATAATTTTCATAGATTAACATTGGAAAAATTATGATTGATAACAAATGCTGTAAAGATCAAGACAAATTCTTTCTTGAAAATATATTGCTTTACATTGCTCCTAAA